TAATTCTAACACCAGTTGAGAGGACAAAGAAGGAAGAAAGAGGAGAGGAGGAGGGACATAACCAGCCAAGCTCCTTTGAAGACTAAGAAAAGACTAGAAAAGATATGGGAGGAGCTGCAGTTTCTATCATGTCCCTATCTCCAGTTTGCCACACTAGAGAATATGGAGAGTTTCCCCTTGGGCAAGATCTAGGACTGTCCTAATTGAGCTGAATTGTCTGGTATATATTTTCCTATGTATATCTTCACTGATTTCTGTTTTGCTATGAATTGAATAAATGGGTTTCTTGGCTATTTGCAATGTATGTTCATTGTGGAACTGTTATTTGGTGGGAAGGTGGTCAAGCCTTGAATATAGAGCTTGGGGTCCTGCTTCCCCCCAAAAATTACATAAGGATCAGAAGTTAGATTGAATATGATCATATCTACTAGACCAGGGGTGGGAACCTGCAGCCTCGAGGCCATATGTGGCCTTCTAGGTCCTCAAGTGCAGCCCTTTGACTGAATCCAAACTTCATAGAACAAAAGGACTTGTGGCTTTGAGGGCACCCCTGCTATGACAAATAATATTTAAGGGAGCAGGTAGATACAATTCTAGCTCAGTACCCCCTCTCTCTGAGGAGAGCAGAGTGGTTGGCCTCTGGCCCCAACTTCCTGCTTCCCCTTTTGGCAGGAATGAAAGTCTCCCTTAGAGAAGGGTGGGAGGAGAAGAGCCTAGAGATGTCTGTTACAACTTTTTGAACTACACATAATTGGCAGTCCCCACCCCACACGTGGAACCCTCACAACATATATGGGCCCCTTCCCTTCTGCTACACATGTGATGATGGTACGGTTTTCTTGACACTCCTTAAAACTCAGTTTGATACTCATCTGGGGTCTCTCATCATCTTTTCCCATCCAAACCCCATCCCCATATTTCACTTCTTGAACAAGGTCCATAGTCCCTATGGATCTGAAAAGCAAAGGGACATTTCTAAGAATGTATTAAAAAAAAGAAGAGGAGGAAAAAGATCATAAGATTTTAGCATTAGAAGGAAGCTTAGAGACTATCAACCCAACCCCCTTTATAGATGCAGAAACTTATGTGAAGTGGCTAATTTGGGCTCTGAAGGGTTAATTTCCAATCTACCTTCAAGTGCCCAAACTCTTTTCAGGAGCACCACATATCTTTAGTGATCATTTGTTTAATTTTGTATTGCTGTCAGTGTTGTAGGGATCCATGGGGAGAAATTAGTTTTTACCTGAAGGTGAAGGGTTGATTTCCAATTGACCCCAAGTTCAAAATCCATTTAGGGAGAGCCTTAAACATTTCGGAAGAGCATCTAGGTTAAAAATTGTCTTATCTTTTTATTTACATTGTTAGCTGTCTTTTTTTTATTTTCCTAATTATTTTGGGCTTGGAATGGCTCCTACAAACACCAAGGTAGGCATGCACCTATGGACATTTTGTAAAAAAAAAAAATTTGCTTATTAATTTGATATACGTAATCCCTGGGCTCTTCAGCTATGAGAGGCCTCACAAAGGGCTATTAATATTGCGAGAGTCCGAGAAGTGTGTATCAGGGTCATTTTAAGAATATTGTTAGTGTCTAGTCCCTGGGGAGGCAAACAAAAAGAGGGTAACAGCTGAAGCTTCCCCAAGTTGCCGAAGTGCTATCCAGAATTGGGATTGGACCAATATGCTTGAAAGCACCCCACTTTGATTTGCTGGGACAAAAATATGTAACAGGGAGGAATCAAATAAGATGTTGATTGAGAGAAGTCTCTGTTCAACGTGATTAGTCCACCAGTTTGATGGTTACAAAGCATCGGTTTTGGTTTCAAGGCATCTAAAGGGCACCTCACTGTGGAGTGTATATGTACTCAGGGATCTCCAGATGATTGACTGAGAATAAGAGGGACAGACTCTTATCAACAGAGCTACCTCTCTATATGGTCTAAAAAATGAGTTGACACACCAGCTCGATCTTTTTCTTGCTCACTTCCGGGCTCCCTTGTCATTGTTTTCCTTTCACTTACTTCCAAATACAGTGAAGGGGAAATAAGAATTTCTCCCTCCCTCTTCCAGGAAGCAGGACGCAGCACAAGTACCTGCTGAAGAGCAAGTGCTTGCCCAGGGAGTGCAAGAGGGGAATTCTTGGACCTCAAGTTCCTGTCTCCTGTATGCCTTTGTTTCCCTTTTTGAGTATAAGTTGGAAAACCGAGAGCTGACTTCACAACCCAAAACAATAGGGGATGGGGCTGGAGGAAAGGGGCGCAATGACAGATTTACTATAGAAGTACATGGCAAATGCAGACATGTGTGTGCCTATTTGGCATATACAGAGCTCACGAACCCTAAGTCCTCTGTTTAAAAAAAATGGATTTTTTTCCTTTTTTTATAGTATCTTATTTTTTCAAATTATATGTAAAGACAATTTTTAACATTCATTTTTACAAAATTTTGAGTTCCAAAATTTTCTACCTCTCTCTCCTCTTCCTAAAACGGTAAGCAATCTAATATAGGTTTTTATATTTTGTAATGCTCTCTATTTCTTGTTTGGTCATGAATACTTCCCTTCTCTATAGATATGACAAGGAATATAGATATTCCTTGCTCTACTAATTTGCTTTATATTTTACCTTTTATGTATCACCCTTTATGTATAAATCTTGTACCCATTTTGACCTTATCTTGGTATACGGTGTAAGATATTCATCTATACCTAGTTTCTGCCATGTTGTTTTCCAGTTTTCTTGGCAGTTTTTGTAAAATAGTGAGTTCTTATCCCAGAAACTGGGAGGCCAACTTGCCCAAAGCCACACACAGCTAGTAGGAAGAAGTGCTAGAATTTGAACTCAGATTGCCGGACTCAAAATCATTGGCACCATGCTGTTTTTGGCAATCCATCCTACTCTGTGCAGCACTTACTCCTCTAATCCCAAGAAGCAGATGCGTCAAGTTTGGGGCTGAGGGTGAGGGCTGACCAATGAAGGCCTACTCCTTAGAGCATGCTGAGATCTGCCCTTCTTAATGGATTATAATGAGCATATAAAGATATTCCCTGCCTGGCTCCAATAAATCTAATTCTAGACAATACTGGCTGATTCTGTGTATTACTGAAACCTTTTGGATTCCAGAGCTAATAAATGTACATACAAAAAAGGAATAATCTGTTCACTCTGGAACTAAATGTACATATAAGTGACTTGGGCCCTCTATGGCCTTTCTGTTTCTTGTCCTTTCCAGTAAACCAGTGAGGTTCACTGCTGTGAACTGCCAAGTAAGAGGAAGGGCGTTACTTTATGTGGCCCTCTGGCCCCCTCTGGCCAGTGGGACCTCTGTTTCTTTTGTGTTTATTCTTTCCTGATCCAAGATGAAGGAGTGTTCCAAAAGTGGAGTGCCCAGGAACCTGCGGGAATCCTTTAAAGCCATAAGAGTTCCCACTGGCGATCAGCGTTGGTAGCAGAGTCTACTAATGTGGTAGCGGCCAGCTCCAGAGAAAGGGCAGGAGTGAGCTGGTAACCAGCTCATATTGATTGGCTCTAAAAACCAGCTGTTTACATTTTCAGGCCAGAATTGGATGACACACTTCCGGCCTCGGTAGCCCTGGAGACAGAGAGGGTGTACATTTACACCTTTGATATCAGCAAATGCTACAAATCAGGACTTGATTTATTGTTTTGCCAATTGTCTACTCTTAAGGAAATGCTGGAAAAAAAAGTCTTAATGCTAATTGAACCTTTAAGTGTGTCATGTGGACATTTTCTTACCTTCCCCCAACCCCCAAAGCCAGTTACAGAGATACTGGCTGAGGCTCTAGATCTTCAGAACCCAGCAGAGATTTAAGCCTTTGTCCTTTCAGTCACTTCCAACTCTCCATGACCCCTTTTGGACTTTTCTTGGCAAAGATAGTAGAGGGGTTTTCCAGGCAAATGTAGTTAAATGACTTGCCCATGGTCACAGAGCTAGGTCACATCTGAACTCAGGTCTTTCTGATTCTAAGCCTGGCTCTATCCACTGTGCCACCCAGCTGTCCAAAGCGTTAGGGCTCCTGGGATATGAATCGAGGACCTCTCCCACCCAAAGCCAGAATCCTACCCCTAGACCTACACTTAGACCCAAGAGTGACAACCTAAGCCTAAGGGGAAACCAAATGAGGACTCTACAAAGGGAGAAAGGATTCACCAGGCTAGGAGTTTAGAGGTACCCTTCCACCCTACATATTCTACACACATGCTTTACTCTCATTGCACCCTAAGTTTGAGCCCACTCTCCCCAAGAATCCTGACCGTGCAAGGAGAGAGCGTGCCCCTTGGTGTATCAATGTTTTTGTTAACTACTGTTCTTGCTATACTTCTTAGTAAATTTCTAAAGGGAAATACAGTTGCACTGGTTGATTGATAATGAGGAACACGCTAGATGGCGGATACAGGAGTAGGAATACTAATTCCTCAGGTTTCCCCTGAGAACTGTGACAGGCCCCAAGTTGTTAGTTCCAGGGAGAGCTGGGAAGTGTTTAAAGAGGGGGTGCTACAAAAGGATAGTGGCTTTACAGCTATTAAATACCTTAGCGGCCATGTAGGCCAATCGCTTCATTTTATAGATGAGGAAGAAAGGCTAAGTGATTTGCCCAAGGTGGGATTTGAATCTACGACAAACAGCAGTCGTCAAGCCTCCCTGGGTAGGCACGCTCTACCCGGGATGCAATCGGGGAGCGAGGCCTGGACCACGTGGCCTACCCGGCCGGCGGCTCCTCCGGCAGCGCGGCGCCCGGATGCCGAGAGGAGCGTCCAGCCTCGGAGCCCCGCGTTCTCTCGACCCCGCCCCTTCTCCCTGCCCAGCCCAAGGGCCGGCTCCCGGGATCCGTAAGGAGAGCGAACAAGCCAAATCACCGAGGTGACCGGTCTCCTACGTCTGCTAGAGAGGCGAGAATTGGATGACACACTTCCGGCCTCGGTAGCGCTGGAGACAGAGAGGGCGGGGTCACGTGCCGGGGGCGGGGGCGAGGCCGGCTCCTGGACTGTGGGAAGGGGCTCTGGGCACCTGAAGCTCCTAGGAGGTGGGCGGGGGGGCGGAGGAGCCCCGGAGTGGGACGCCGGGAGACCCAGAAGAGTGCGGGTGTGTGAGGAGGGGGAGCCGTGTTGGCCCGGGATCAGGGCCCCCGCTCTCCCGGGGAACTCTTTGGGATTTTGCGGAGCCTCCGAGGAATCCAGTCCCGACGACCACGTCCAAAATCTGGGACATGTTTTGCTTGTTCCTTTTCCAGAGCCTCTGGACTGTTGGGACTGATGGATTCTGAGCCGGTGTGACCTGGTTTGTTTTGTTTTCACCTGTCACCCTTGTGTCTAATTTTGGAAAACAAAGGGTTGACCTGACACACACAAGTGCACTAAGTGCACATCTTAGTGTTCAGGATTCTAAAACGATCCAGATCATTTTTTGCAAACCTAAAAACTTAGTGAGGGTAAAGAATAGGGAGTGCCCAACCTTGCTCTTCTGTTCTAAAGTGGAAAAATTTTGGAATTTGAATTAGTATTTTGTTCAGGCTTCTTGACTCTTATCACAGTTTTGCTTTATTTTCACTAAATTTCATCATTTTCCTAGCCTTCATCTAAATCATTATGCATTTTTAAGTGCCTACTACGTGCCAGGCTAAGTGCTGGGATTCCAAATTCTTAGAAGCACTGATAATTCGTCTTAAGTTAATAGTAAATGCTTTAGGACCACCCCTGAAAGAAGAAACACTCCAGGGCATCCTAGGCAGAATGAGCCTTCAATGCTGTCGTCAGAATGGCTCACCTGAGGGAAGCTGTAACCCTAGTTTTCCAGGCTTCTGAGGAGCAGGAAAATCTTTTGATAGTGAAAGTGGAGGAGAAAAAAGACCTTACCTTTAACCAGGAATTTCAGCTTGGAAAAGACAACTTCTCTGGCCAAGAAATCTGCCCACGTTTCAGGCAGTTCCGATACCACGAGGCCCCTGGACCTCGGGAAGCTCTGAGCCAACTACGGGAACTTTGCCATCAGTGGCTGAGACCAGAAATACACACAAAGGAACAAATCCTGGATCTGCTGGTGCTGGAGCAGTTCCTGGCCATCTTGCCAGAGGAGCTCCAGTCTTGGGTGAAAGAATACCATCCTTTGAGTGGAGAAGAGATTGTGACCATGTTGGAGGGTTTGGAGAGAGAACTTGATGAACCAGGACAACAGGTGAGAATGAGAAGTGTAATCTATTATAAAACAAGAGGGAGCTACTATAGGAGAACCTACGGAATTTTAGCAAGCAGCACTAGAAGAGAAGAATTGGGTTTCTTTCATTTCTATAGGCTTCATTGGTTATTCAATTAATTAACATTTATTAATAGACTAGTATGTGCTGGGATTAGTGCTGGGGATACAAAATGAGGCAAAAAGTCCCTGTCCTCAAGGAACTTACAATCTAATAAGAGACAGCATGCAAACAAATATATACAGAGCAACCTATGGACATGATAAATAGGAAATAATTAACAGAGGGAAAGCCCTAGAATGAAGAGGGGTTGGAGAATGCTTTCTGTAGAAAGTCAGGTTTTAGTTGGGACTTACTTAAAGGAAACCAGGAAGGTCAGTAGTCAGCCAGTTATCATTTGCCTTTGGGGTATGAAATGAAACTCTAATTCTAACTTTCCTTGTCCCATTCTCTAATTCTGTATTCTCCGTGGTCTCTTCTCTGAAGTTTGAATTATAATACAGATAGTGACTTTTCAGAAGTACAACTCTGTCTAATTTTCCTTAGGTTTCAGTCCATGCAGAAGGATTGAAAGGGTCGTTGAAGGAGGTGGTACCTTTGGAAGCAACACAAGAGTTAGTGAGCATTCAACTGCAGCTTATGGAGACTCAGCTCAAATGTGAATCCTCAGTACTCCACCGCTTACAAGAAATAGGTGAGGAGTTGAAAATAATCTGAGAAAGCAGGTGGAGGATAGGTGTCTCCTCTGAAGGTAGCAATGAGTTTCTTATTTTAAGAAATAGGAATGTGAATTGCAGTATGCTAATCATTTCAAGGACTGGTATTTTTTACACAAGAGAGTCAGGCTTGCACTTATATAGCTATGCCAGGGAAGGTATGATCAAGACAAGGCAGCATGATTTTGTGGGTAGGGTGCTGGAATTATGATCAGGAAGATGTGGGTTCAAATCCTGCTTCAAACACTTACCAGTTGTGACATTTGGCAAATCACTTAACCTTTCTGGACCTCAGTTTCCTCCTCTGTAAAATGGTGATAATAACAGCACCTACCTCACAGCACTGTTGTGAGGATCAAATCATATAATGCATGTAAAGCGCTCTACAAATGTTAATGGAAACAAAGAACATAAACTTGGACAGACTTTGAGAGAGAATGGAGGATAAAAGGGCCTGGTGTGCTATGGTCCATGGGGTCATGAAGAAAGAGTTGGATATGACTGAATGTCTGAACAACCACCACAAATTATTATTAGCAGTTTAACTGTACACAAGAATGAAGGTACAAAAGCAAACAAGAACGGTCTCTGCCCTCTACTAATTTACATTCTACTGGAAGGGATCTAGTATGTAGATAAATAAATACAAAATAATTTCAGGAGAGAAAGAGAGTACACTAACAACTGGAGAAATTGGGAAAAGCCTTGTATAAGAGGTTTCATCTGAGTCTTTTAAATACAGGGATTCTAAGAGGCAGAGATGAAAAGGGTAGTACATTTCAGGCATGTGATATACTTATACACAAAGGCGATGTTAATAGCTAATAGGCAGTTTAGATGGAATACATAGTGTATGAAATAAGATTGGAAAGGTGCATGAGAGCCTGATTGTAGTGGACTTTAAATGCCAGGTTGAGGATTTCATACTTTGTATTAGAGGTATTAGGGAGCCAGTAAAGGTTTTGAGCAGGGAAGCCACACTGTCAGCTTGGGCAACACCCATGATTCGTGGTTATGATGTGGATGAAGAGCCAGCAAAGGAGACTAAAGAGTGATCAAACAGGAGGAGAACCAGGAGAGAGCGATTTCATAAAAATCAAGAGGGGAGGTCATGTCCAACACTGTCAAATGCTTCAGAGCGGTCAAAAGAATGAAATTTGGCAGTCAGGTGCTTAATCAATGCTTTTCATTCATTCAGTCTAGGGCACTACCAACAAGAAATTGAAAGCAACGTTTTTCCCCCAGAGTTGAAGGCATCGCCATCCTTTAAGTCACTGAGGTTTACAATCTCAGAGTCATCCTTGACCAATTCCTCCTTACCCCCATATCTAATCAGCTGACAAACCTTGTTTATTCTACCACTAGGTCTCTCACTTATGTCCCCCTCCCTCCACTTACATAGATAATATCCCAGTTCTGGTCCTGATCACCTCTAGTTTGGACTACTGATTGAAAGTCTCCTAGTTGATCAGTCTCCCTGCTTCCAGCCTCTCTTTCTGATCTACCCACCACACAGCTGCAAAATACCTAATACCTAAAAAAGCCCATTGCTGGCTCTCCTGGCTCTCATCCTGTTTGATCACTCTTCAGTCTCCTTTGCTTGTCCTTCATCCACGTCAGGATGACTAATCATGGTCCCCTACACTAACTATCCTCACTTTGTGATATCAGCTACCCTTGGGTTCAGTTATTATCCCTATTTATAAACTTATAAATCCAGCCCTAGTCTTTTCTCCTGAGCTACAGTCCTAAATCATAAACTGCTTTTTGTACATTTTGAATTATGTCTTGTAGGCATTTCCAACTCAACACACCCAAAATAGACCTCATTTCACCCTAAATTCTTCACAGTGCTTCATGCATGGAGTAAGCAAGGACAACAAGAATTGAGAAAGTCTGTTGGATTTTGCAATTAATAGATTGTCATTTTTGTTCTTTGAGAGAGCAAATTCAATATATGGCAACAGAAGCCACTTTGCAGTTTTAAGAAATTAGTGTTGGTAAGGAACCATAGGCAACAGATGTAGACCATTCTTTAGGAGTTTGGAGGTAAGGAGAGGAGAGACTTGCTGGAGGAAGACTGAATTGTTATGAGTTTAAGGAGATTTGAGTAGTTTTGTTGGCCAGAGGAAAGGAGCTAGATGAGTGACAAAGAAAGTAATTGGTGCAGTAAGGTCCCTAAAACCTGTGAAATAGGATGAGGTAGGATGAAGAACACAATTTGGTGGGATTAGCTTTAATTAGTAGAGTTGTAAGCCAGACCTTCTAGGAGAGATTAAGGATTTGGGGCAAGTTTATTTACAATAAATAGATTGAAGATTGAAGAAGGCTCAGTAGGAGGCTGAGGTTGTGGGCAGGGGTAGATTTGATTTGGGAAGGGACAAGACTAAACTGGATAGGGAAGAGAGAATTGGGGAAGGAACCTGGTTTGAGGTGGGGCAATACAGGATAACAGAGCAAGGATCTGGAGATAAACTAGAGGAGCATAATACCTATGGGAGATTGTTAATGTAGAGTAGGCAGCAGTAGCTACTGAAGGTTAATGGAGGGGCAGGTAGGTGGCGCAGTAGATAGAGTACTGACCCTGAAGTCAGGAGGACCTGAATTCAAATGCGGCCTCAGACCAAACACTTGACACTTACTAGCTATGTGGCCCTGGGCAATTCACTTATCCCCAGTTGCCTAAAAAAAAAAAAGTTAATGGAAATTCAGATGCTGAGGAAATAAATTTAATAAGAAAAGGACTTTAGCTAACATCCAATCTCTGTTGCTGGACCAGCTGTCCTGGAAACCAGTCTGTGATTCCCCTTATTCAGTTCCGTTAAACTAAATAAACATGAAGTGCTGAAGAAATACAAAGACCTGTGTCTTCTTCATCTACTGTAAGACTTGTGCATGCCCCTTTAGTTATTCCTGACATAATGTCTATAGACAACTTTGCTTTTCTTTCTTACTGAACATAACAGACATGATGGTTGAGATTATTTTTGTGAACAGTTCCATGCAACTGTATAGAAATCATCCCAAGTTCTTCCCACCTGCTCTGCTGGTCCTGAATATCAGAAATCTGAGAAGACAAAGTCTTTGAGAGTCAAGTGATAGAAATGATGATGGTCATCATCATCATAATTTGAGATTTGCAAAGCGTTTCACATTTTATCTCATTTGACTTTCACATCAAACTTGGTAGATTCTATTAACATGTTTATTAATGTTAATATTTTATATTAATAATTTTGTACATGAGAAAACTGAGACTGAGAGAGGTTAAGCCCAAGATCACACAGCAAGTTAGTTTCTGATGGACTATTTGAAATCAGTTCAATGCTGTATCCGTGATGCCATCTAATACAGACTTTGCATTCTGGTATTTACAACCCTTCCTAGACTAGCTGTAGATTATATTCCAACCAAGCCAAGTTCCTGCAAGTCCGTATTGTTGGGTCCAAAATGGATCTCCAATCTTCCTCACGATCTAAGATGCCCCCTGGTCCCCAGGGCCTTACTTTCATAGGGCTTGGTACTCAGACATATGGAAGAGGCAAAGTAAAATACAAAATCTCATTGGTTGATAGACCTTGCTCTTCACCCTCTAAGAGGGTCAAAAATTATGTAACAACATGGGGCTCACAAGATGGGTAAAGCAGGGATCATTTCCATTAAGTGATCATAAGATGAGCTCCTCATACTGGGCGAGAAAGGGTGGTCTGGAGATACAGAAACAAGTTGGAGGACTTTCAGTATTACACCAAAGCATCCCATGCTGGGCTTGGCAGATATAATTGAGCAAAACAGAGTGGAGAGCCCCTCCTCAGCATTCTTGTGGTTACACAAGTGAACTTTATTAACTGATAAATAAGTAGTGAACAGTGAATTTATAGTTTATAAAGTTTGGGGCCTATAATAAGAAAATCTTATCTAATTATCCCTATATATGTAAAATATGCATTAATATATATGTTATTCATGTATGATTAGTTGACTAAACTGACTAAATGTATATTACTAGGTGAATATATCACTTATAATTGCTAACAATCATTACCCCTATGGAATCACACTGAACTGATTAATACTGATTGGAATAAAATAGGGGTCCAGTAAGTCACTTTTCTCAGCATTCCATCTCCCACTTTTTCTTTTGCACAGACTATCCCTCAGGCTAGCCTGGAATATCCTCTTTCTTCTTCTCTCTCATCTAGACTCTTTAATTTCCTTCAATTTTCTTCAGTTTAGGTGCCACCTCCTACACAAAGGTAAACCTAATCCTCCTAGTTTTTTAGTGTTCCTTCCCTCCTCACCTAATCTTACTTAAATATGTTTACCTCTTAAATTCCCTCTCTCTCCTTTCCCCCCCACCAGTAGAATGTGAGCTTGTGTTCCCAGCACTAAGCACGGTCTTTTACATGTAGTTAGTATTTAATGAATGCTAAATTGAATCAGGTTTCTTAGCAGTTTCTTTATTTGTAGCATAAGTACCTAGTGACATTTGTATTCTGTTTGTTGTTTCAGATGATGAGTCTAGGCCTGAGAATGAGAAGTTGAGTCTAAAGCAGGAAATTTCTTTAGTAGAACCTCACTCATTGCTTTTAAGAAGAGTCATAGTGGATGCTCCCCAGCAACCTGAATCTGGACAAGCTTTTGAAACTGAGAGCAGGTTAAAAGGGCATCAAGAAACCCCCACAGTGGAGAGAAGGAAGAAATCTCCTTCCCAGGAGAAAATTTCCAGGGAAATCAGAGAGATCATTCATAAAAAGTTTCCCATAGGAGGACAGAAAGACCACAAATGTGATGAATGTGGAAAATTCTTTACTAAGAGCTCAAATCTTATTCGACATCAAAGAATCCACACTGGAGAAAAACCTTATAAATGTAAAGAATGTGGGAAGGCTTTTAGTGGAAGTACCAGCCTTTGTCTGCATCGGAGAATCCATACTGGGGAGAAACCTTATAAATGTGATGAATGTGGGAAAGCCTTTAGTGTGAGTTCCAATCTGATTCTTCATTACAGAATCCACACATTAGATAGACCTTATGAATGTGATGAGTGTGGTAAAGCTTTCAATTGGAGTTCAGACCTTATTAAACATCAAAGAATCCACACTGGGGAGAAGCCCTATGAATGTGATGAGTGTGGGAAAGCTTTCAATCAGAGCTCTGACCTTATTAAACATCAAAGAATCCACACTGGGGAGAAGCCCTACAATTGCAGTGAGTGTGGGAAAGCCTTCAATCAAAGCTCACTCCTTATTAAACATCAGAGAATTCACACTGGGGAGAAGCCATTCCATTGTAATGAATGTGGGAAAAGCTTTAGTCAAAATGCAGGTCTTATATCACATCTGAGACTCCATACAGGAGAAAAACCTTATGAATGTAGTGAGTGTGGAAAAGCTTTCAGTGAGAGTTCACACCTCATTAAACATCACAGAACTCACACAGGGGAAAAACTTTATCAGTGTACCAAATGTGGGAAAAGGTTTAGTCAAAATGAAGGTCTTATTTCACATCAGAGAATCCACACTGGGGAGAAACCCTACAAATGTGATGAATGTGAGAAAACCTTCCATAATAGTTCAAACCTTTCTAGACATAAGAAAATTCACATTAGAGAGAGGAAAACCTTATAAAGCTAACAAATGTGGGTAAAACTTTTTTTTTTTTGGTGAGACAGTTGGGGTTAAGTGACTTGCCCAGAGTCATACAGCTAGTGAGTATTATGTGTCTGAGGCTGGATTTGAACTCGGGTCCTCCTGACTTCAGGGCCTGTGCTCTATCTACTGTGCCACCTAAAAGCTATTGGTACTTAGTAAGTAGGCTTTTTAGTAGTTTTTATAAGGAGCTCAGTGATAAGAATACTAAGTGTTAGTATTAAGTGTCCTACTTTAGGCTTTAACCAAGTCCCTAAAAGCTTTTATAGAGTATACTCCTGTGTAGCCATCAGAGAGTGGACACTTGAGGAGAGGCACCATAATTGCAATGCAATACTTTTGAAGTGTTTCAGTTGCAGCTCTTCCCTTAAAACATTAGGGACTTGGTTAAAGCCCAAAGTAGGACATCTAGGCCATTTTTTGGAAACTTAATACTCCTATCACTGAGCTCCTTATAAAAAGCTCTTGACAGCCAAGGAACTAATTCTGTGTTTCAAGAACTGTCACTAAGTAGGGTTCAAAAGTTAATCGGCACTCAAGAAAAAATTTGGAACTATGCCTCAAAAGTTACCTGCAACCTAGCCATATTACTGTATCACAAAAAGATCAAACAAAGAAGAAAAGGACCCAAATGTACAAAAACATCTATACAGCCTGTTTTGTATTAGCAAAGAGCTGGAGATTGTGTGGGATGACCCCCATCAGTTGGGGACTGGCTGACCAAATTATGCTATACAATTGTAATGGAATCACTGTGCCATGAGAAATGACAAAGACAGTTTCAGTGAAGCCGGAGAAGCTTTGTATGAACTGATGCAAAATGAAACAAGGAAACAAGCAAACAAGGAAAACACTTTATTCAATAACAGCGGCATTGTAAAAACAACTTTGAAAGCCTTAGACCTCTGATCATTACAATAACCAATCATGATTTTAGAAGACTGATAATGAAGCATGCTGACCACCTCCTAACAGAGGTAATGTAGACTCAGGGTACAGAATGATGCATATGTTTTGGACATGGCCAATGGGGGGAATTGTTTTGCTTGACTATGCATATTTGTTAAAAAGCCTTTTGCTTTTCTGCCCCCTTCCCCCAATTGTGGAGAGGTGGGAAGGAGAGAAAATAATTTTTGTTAGCTGAAAAAATTTAATTTGAAAAAAGTTATTCTGGGGTCTGGAAGAACTTGGGAATTTTTTCAGTTAGCAGTGTCTTAAGTATTCATTCCCTGCGGGCCTAACCTTTGTAAACAATGCCCTCTTTTGTATTTATGTTCCCAATTCTTTGTCTCCCAGGTCAGACCCGGGAATTATTGTAAGCACTTCTTTGTTTACTTCAGTCAAAAAGGCTTAGAGAGCCTGTCTGGTGGTTCATGCCTGTAATTAATCCCTGCTAATGAGTTAGGCTGAAGCTGGTGGATATCTTGAGCTCAGGAGTTCTGAACTGCAGAGAGCTAAGCTAATTGAGTATCTGGGGATAGAAATGGCATTACAAGATAAGATATCCTGGTTTGGTTCAGAACCTGGAATACTATTTCCATTTCTGATTGCCAAATCTTAAAAAAGATACAGTGGATTTGAAGAAGGTATAAGCAAGAAAAAGAAATAGACATTGGCTGTCAAATGACTAGAAACGCTAGACCCAAAAGACTAGAACTCTTCTGGAAAAAAAGAAATAGGTGTCAATCAAATCGGTTCTACAAAACTGTGAATAGGATTGTTGAGGTCAGAGTTGGGAAAGCTGGTTCAGATGTGAAAGAATTCACTTAGACTTTCTAGCCATTGGTGATGAGTACAGGGTGGACCCTAAGAATGTTGGGGTGCTACCTGAAATGATGAATAGAGGTGTGGTTCCTAGCATCCTAAAAGAATTCAGTAGGACAGTCTCCAAGTTAAAGAAGGGCATTTATTGGGGTGATGTACCCAAGTGGGCCTGCTCTCTGCCCCAGCAGGTTCTACTCCATGTGGGAGGCAAAGCATAGGCCGCAGGCCCTGCTCCCCTAAGGGAGCAGAGTGACCCCTACTTCCTGTAGGAGGCAAAGATGGTTAGCTAGATCAAAGGTATGATTTAAATACAATTTTATGGAATAAGAAGAAGGGGACCGGAATGGGAGGAGCAAGCATGGCTCCAAAATGCCTGAGATATCAGGTAGTCTGGACATGATAAGCAAAGAGAACAGGAAAGGGGAGGGGAAGAGTTCTGGAATTGAGGGTACTTTGTGAAAGCACACAGAAGTTCCTGGTGGGGACTTCAATGCATAGTCTTCTTGGATCACTTTTCTGGCTGGTCACATCCTGCATCTTATCTCCTATCTCTTGTCCCTTTGCTCCAAGTGCCTCCAGCACTCTTTTCTTACTCCTCACAAGGATCCTTTCTCTGTTCTTCATTAATTGATTCAACATATATTAAGCTAGTACTCTTTCCACTAGAGTAAGTGCTTGGGGAAATACAAAAATAATTCCTCAACATTCATGGGTTTCACGTTCACAGTTATTCATGGGCTGGCCATGGTTATTTAAATGGGAATTTTTGGAGATCTGTGGCAGTACTTGGGAAAATTGAAGGCGACACATGACACAGTTATGTAAAGAAAACTTTAAAAAGTTTAATGTCGTAAATGAATAAATGCTGTATATCATTAATGTATTTTATCATTTACTACTGTAAGTGTTTGTGTGTATGTTCAGTCATGTCCAATTCTTTGTGACTCCATGGACTATAATAGCACAGCAGGACTTTCTAACCTCCACTATCTCTTGAAGTCTGCCCAAGTTCATGTTTGTTATTTCCATGATACTATCTATCCATCCCATCCTCTGCCATCTCCTTTTCCTTTTGCCTTCAATCTTTCCCAACATCCCAGTAGTGAGTCCCACCTTCTCATTATGTGGCCAGAGTATTCAGCTTTAGTATTTGGCCTTCCAATGAACAGCCTGAATTAATCTAAGTATTGACTGATTTGACCTTGCTCACAAAAGTCTTCTCCAGCACCATAATTCAGAGGCGTTGATTCTGCAGCATTCAGTGTTCCTTATACTCCATGCATTGGTACTGGAAAACAAAGCTTTGACTATACAGACCTTTACTGGAAAGGTGCTATCTCTGCTTTTTAGCATCGCTGTCCAGATTTCCAAGGAACAAGCATCTTTTAACTTCATGGTTGCAGTCACCATCTGCAGTGATCTTTTTGCCCAAGAATATAAAATCTGGCACTGCTTCCATTTCTTCTCCCTTTGTTTGCCAGGTAGTGATGGGACCAATTACCAAGATCTTATTTTTTTTGATGTTAAGCTTTTATACTCTCCTCTTTTACCCTCAACAAGAATGTTCTTAATTCCTCTTCACTTTCTGCAATCAGAGTAGTAGTATAAATTTATAATAAACAGTTAAATTTTGTCAAAAGTTTGCACTAAAGAACCACTGGCTATGCACTGTCTTTGGGAATGCCTCCTCTTTACCTACCATCTGTCCAGATTCAGTCAGTCAGCTTTTCGTAGGAGAAGGAAATCCGTAAAGTGGTTGCTTCAACTACATTGGCAGGCTGAAAAATTCTGCATGGTATGTGAGATACTAATCTCTTTCCCATAGAAACTGCATTTGTTATAGGTGCAGTGTGTTGTTTACTTGCTTTTTGTGTTAAATAAATGTGACTAGAATTATTAAAAATAAAAGTTCAAAGTGGGGCCTAGAGTTATTCAGGGTTTTTCATATTCATGGGGATCCTATGCCCCTGACACCCATGAATGTTGAGGGAGGACTGTACTTTGATAGGTCTGTGGTCTCACTGATGTGGGTGCTCTTTCTAATTAGTATAGCTCACAAGTTATTAATTTCTTCTGATCCTATGCAACTCTTGATCACATACAGAAATCTTCTACAGAGAACCCATACCATGATTTGGGGGCCTATGAATTAAAAGATTTTTATAGTCAAACAGGCACAGTGGAATTTTGTATGTGTATATACAGTGGTTTATTAAACAAGGGAAAAGACTAGTTTAAAGGCATTTGAAAGGAGAATGAGTATACAATTTAAAATACTCTGGCTTTTTTGAACCACCTCAGATATATAAAAAACAGAGTTGTTATTTGATCTCATATTACTTATTCTGCTTAGATCTTAGCAGCCACACATGGACCCACCAAATTCAATTTGAATGAGACTTGAATGAGAACCATATATCACATATGGAAGGGACCCCAGGAGCCGTCTGTTCCACATCATCTCCAACAAGTGGTCTTCCAGTCTTCACCCACAGCTCTAGAGGAGCTTTTTGGTGCTACCTGGGTATCCTTCATCCAATGCTTCCAACCTCTTCTATCCACATACAACTGCCTGATGCTCTGGACAGCCAACCATAGGAAGAACCCCTGTGGACAGTGATTACTACTGGAACTCCTCAATGAGTAACATACTTCCATCCCAACATACCCTTCCTAACCCAGTGGTTCTGAACCCCCAGTTGCCCTTGCACAAACTCCATTCTCTATCCTCCACTGACCACTCCCTTATTCCCATTCCTCTTGACCGACCCTCCTCAATCCCTTTTAACTCTACCCAACACATCCTGTTTACCCTTTCTGAAATGCTTTCTCCATAAATAGCAGACTGGATTTCATCTTTAAGCTTTTCCAAGATAGTCCTTTCATCTTCTTGCATTCACTTTCCAGCACTGTTGTACTTTCACTCATTCCCCCCAATTCATTGGTCAGGTGGGGGAGGCGGAATATTCCTTACTCCATTAACATCCAGATTCTCCCTCTAGTTCCATCACTACTTCTTCTTCTTTGAAGTTCACTCAATGCATATTCATCACCCAATCAAGATTCTGAGACCTGACTTCCAAGACACTTTCTTTCCCAATGAGTGCAGTGCCTGGCTCATAATCTTCCTCTTCTC